TATCAGGCTAATTAACTGTTGGATCGTGATATAGAGTTCTTAAGAAAAATCGGTGGATTTAATTCGTATCGGTGTTATCAATCGTGCCGTATAAGGAAGGAAGCCCTAAGATTTGAGGAAGTCGAAGATGGAATGTTCATTTCACGATTTTAAATTTAGGCATGGAAGAATATTTTCAGATCTCATTTTAAATTTGCTCATATGCCCTAGATCTGTTATCAATTCGTCAGTACTGATGTTTGAATTTGGTCAAATCCCTTCAATTTTTTCAGTTATTTGGCGTTTCGGAAATGCCGTGATTCACTTACTTCAATGCTTTTTCTCTATCTCTAGGAATGCAACTTTAACTGATGTTGTTGATTTCATGAATGAATTTGTAGTTTTTATTTTTTCAAATAAAAGACTGTAGTTGGCTTGTCCTCTGTCTCTTTATTTTTAATAACTAGTAATTTTACCCTGTTTGTAGGTTCCGAAATGAACTTCCCGATCCATCTGCAAAGGCGAAGCTTTTGGTTATGAAAAGAGACCCCGATCGGTATGGACCCTTGTACTTGTTGAACTTTTTTGTCATATGTTGTTATGTAGTGGTAATTCTTTTTGTTTTTATTTTGATCAAATTGATTTGTGGATGCCCCATCTCTTCATCTAGCTTCTAAGCACACAATGCTGTTAGTAATTGATGAAACCATATTTGAGATGGAATGGAATATTCCATTAACATGGTGTTTGTGGTAAACCACAACGGATTTGTGTACTAGTCCAATATCCCCGTTACGAAATGATGCAGCATCTGTACTTGGGGATTTTTTTGTTCTCTCAAATAATGGTTTGAGCCTCTGCAGATACTGCAAATATCAAATTACATCGCTGGAGAAAAACTGGAAACCGCAGCTGTACGTTGAACCGGATCTAGGAATACCGCTGGACCTTCTTGATCTGAGTGTCTACAAGTAAAATTTCTCTTGACACCTCATTCTCTTTTGTACTTTATCTTGTGGTGTGTTCTTCTGATTTATTTTATTTTTGTTGACCAGTCCTCCCAAGGGTGAAAGGATACCCCTCGATCCAGAAGACGAGGAGCTTTTACGTGATGATGATCCTATAACCCCGATCAAGACTGACGGCATAAAAGCGAAAGAGAGGCCCACAGACAAAGGTGTTTCTTGGCTTGTCAAAACTCAGTACATTTCTCCTCTCAGTATGGATTCAGCTAAGCACTCTCTGACTGAGAAACAAGCCAAGGAATTGCGAGAATCTCGTGGTCGAAATCTTTTGGAGAAACTCAATAGCAGGTTAGTTATCTTATTTTTGTTTGTTTGCTGTTCGTAACAGAAGAGTTTGCAGTTCGAGTCATTTTTGTGCATGTTATTTTAATGGAGTTTTTGGTACTTGTTATCAGGGAAAGGAAAATTCAGGATATTACTGCTTCGTTTGAAGCGAGCAAATCAAAACCTGTTCATGCAGTTAATCGCCAACTAGAACCGAAAAGAGTTCTCCCTCTATTTCCTGATTTTGACAGGTATAGTCTCTCTTTATTGCATCTTTATATACTTAATTAAGTTAAGCTTTTCTCGATTGCATATGGGATTTTTTTATTTTTGTTTTGGATTGGCGACGTATGTTGATTTTAGGAGCAAACAGAAATGCATATCAGAATATAGTTGTCTATAATCTGTGCTGAAGTTGAATATAATATTTTGGTGATCGTACTTTTTTTTCCAGGTTCGATGACCAGTTTGTGGTTGCCAATTTTGATAATGCTCCAACTGCTGATTCAGAAGTCTACAGAAAATTAAATGCAGTGGATCGTGACGAATATGAGCACAAAGTGAGTAATACTTGGATATTATGAAATATTCTCTTTCAGTAAAACATATATTCTTGAATCAATTGGATTATCCTGCCTTTACATCTACTCTACAATCTACTTGATTTTTATTTTTGCAATTGTGTTTGCATGCTTCGTTCCATGTACCTTGATTATAGCTTTGTTTCTGTATTTAATTACTGTCTTACTAACTGCTGATTTAATCATTCTTGTAGAAGATTTTTGTTGAAGATAGTTTTTGGAGTTTTTAGGGTACAAGGACTTCCCATTTTAATTCACCATTTTAATTTGCAGGCAATTATGAGAAGTTACGGGTCATCTAGCTCTGATCCAAACAAATCTGATAAATTTTTGGCTTACATGGTTCCATCGGTTGATGAGGTAGCATTCACTCGATTTAATTGCTTTATGCTCAAGAATATCGAGTCATCTGTTCTTGGTTATTGGTTTTTTTTTTTTTTAAATTTATATATTTTCTTGGTTACGGTGGCAGATAGAGAAGGATATATATGATGAAAACGAAGATGTCTCGTATTCTTGGGTCCGCGAGTACAACTGGGATGTATGTTTTCTTTTATCCAACTTTGTGTTTTACTTATTTAATTTATTTATTGCATTTGAGTCTCGATTAATTTCCGGTTACTGACTTTTTCACAGATGCGGAGTGACAACGTGGATGATCCTACTACATACCTTGTCTCATTCGATGAATCTAAAGCCAAGTACTTGGTAAGTCCATTTTCCGAAACTACCCTCGAAAGTTCTTTTAAGGTTTGTATTAGGACGAAATGATTTTAAATCCATAATAAACAAATCTATCCTATATTATTATTACTACAGCCTCTTCCAACAAAGCTGATACTAAGGAAAAAGAGAGCAAGAGATGGAAAATCGGGAGACGAAGTGGAACAATTTCCTGTGCCTAGATCAGTTACAGTGAGGAGACGAACCAGTGTGTCTGTCGTGGAACTGAGAGACGAGGAGGACGAGGTAACGTAAAATTATGTTATTCTCCACACACACACCCATGTTGGTGTGTGTAAGTAAATGAAGCGTAAAAAAAGATCCACACGCAGTCTAATTCTTGTATTATGCTTTAATCAGGATTTTGTAGCGCCGAAGGTTAGTAACGTAAATCCAAGAGGCGGAAGGTTGCGTAGGAATGTTCCGGACACAGATGTGGATAACTTCAGTGGGGCCGAGGAGGATGACATGTCAGAATAGTTTGCTCCTGCTGGTTTAGTTTTAGAGTAAGAACAATCAGAGAAATGCAAAGACTACATATTTGTGATTTTCATTCTGCATTTCTTTTTTCTTTTTTTTCTTCCCAACCAGAAACTGCATAGATGCTTTTTTTTTTCTTTTTTTTTTTCAAATATAAATTGAACTACAGTTCTTTTAATTATCATAGAAAAAAAGACTGCATTTGTTGTATGATCTGTGTGACCTTCTTATTATCTGTTTTGCTTTTGCTTTTTAATTTTTCATATAAAATTAGTGTTAATTTCCCCGATTTTTCCGTTTATTTTGGATTGGAATTTATATATACAGGTTGCTCATTGTTGATCATTTTATATATGATTTTAATTTTTTAAAACCATTTCAAATGTTTTCCCTCAAATGTTATTATGCATTTTAGAATATATGTCGATGAAAAGGCAGAATTTCGCATTATCAATCTGATTTTTCTTTTATGGGAACAAGTTTTTTCATTTCAATTGTTGAAATTTCAAGTTTTAATTTTTCTGATTTTTTTTCTTCTGGATCGATCGGATCGGAATTGGTTTTCACTTCTCAAAAAATTAAATGAACTCCGAATTTGTTGATTTCGATCCAATGTATTAGATTTACACCCCCTTTTTTCGATCAGATCATCAATTTGACCGGCAGTACCAGGGTCGGAGTTTTTTTTTCGATCAGATCAATCAATTTGACCGGCAGTACCAGGGTCGGAGTTTTTTTTTTTTTTTTTTTAATTATTATTATTATCGTATCTGGAGATTCAAATCTATGTAGAAGAATAATAAGACATGAGGAATAGGTGTAAACAATTCCTAAATGAAAATGTAATAACAAAATGTTTTATAGATTCCATGTCATTATTGAATACATACATACATACATATAATCACACCACCTTATTTGTCTCAAAACACACACACACACATATATATGTGCAAGGCAATTTTCTAGGAATGGAGTAAATGTTTAAATATTAAACTTAGCCTCGCAATACAAGAATTGTCCAGCTACAAAACAATCGAACTTTTTCAACGAGGAGAAACCTGAAAAACGCGAATCTTGAAAAAACATTCTACGCCTCGGAAATATTGACTTCATCTTGTTGAGTTTGATCAGAAGCATCGGACGGTTGAGATTCATGCTTAGCAGCAGCTTGCAATACCCTACTTTGAACATCAACCGATGAAGGAGCAGTTGGCAGCCCGTTTCTGTTCGTCTCTAATTTTCCCGCTGCCCACGAAATTGCTTCACCTCCTAATTTCACTGGAGCTAGCAATACCCTATTTAAAAAAAAAAAAAAGACGGACATTTTTGTGTCAATTATACGAAATACCTTTTGATTAAATACATGTTTTTTTATAATGAAGTAAAAAAAACGGTACCTAACATCCTGATTGAAATCATCTGCACCCTGGTAAGAAGCGACTCGTCGAAATATAGTCTGGTAATTCCCAAAATTAAGACACCAAATCAGCAACAAACTAAAAATATACGGACTTTCAACAATATATGTGAGGAATAAATAATTTGAATTTTAAAGATAACAAGAAATCGACTTATTTTATAAAGATACATATATTACCTGGCCAAGACCGATAACACCGATGAATTGCAACGTCCTTTCCCAATCTGCACAAGAATAAAACAATATTTGATTTATGTCTCAAAGATTCCAAAACCGTCAATATTTCAATGCTAAAATGTGGGGCCCGCCTTCCGTAGCGAACTTTGTCGTATGTTACCTAATAGAGAATAAGCTGCTGCAAGAACACCCTGTACAGTAAAGAAATTCATATTAGTAAAATTCAACCTATTCCGAAACTTATTGAAAGAAACAGTTAACTTGGAACTCGTTGAAATAAGAAAGAAACGGAGTATGAAAAAAATAAAATAAAAATATCGAATCACGAATAATATACGAGAGAATAGGCTTACCACTCCAAATCCAACAACTTTTAGTGGGGTTGGTTTGATTTCCTCCAAGATTGCTTCAGCTTCCTACAAAACCCCGTATTATTTTCTAAAATTACGACAAAGTAAATTTTCAAGAAAAAGAAGAGAGCGGGAAAAAAAATCGAATTTTTTTTTACCTCATTGAGAATCGTAAGCGTTGTCTCGGGTTTTAGCTCTTTAACACGCATTCCTTCTTTCAACCAAGATCGAAAACCGCCTTCGACTTGATATGGTCTCTGTCTTATGGTAAAAAATATTTTACAAAAAAAGCAAAAAAAAAAAAAAAAAAAAGAAAAAGAAAAAATTAGTTTGTGTCGAGTCGAGTAATAATTACTTGCCTTAGTTCCGAGTTTCCTGAGTGATCTGGCGACTCCCTTGGAACGAGTTCCGTCGGCATCCATAACTAAAACCTTGGACCTGTCCTATAGATATCAAATTCATTTCATGCATCACTTTTTTTTATCATCTAATATTTAATATCGAGAAAGTATATTAAAAAGAAGAAATACGTTTCGTACTTCAACAATTTTAAGGTCGCGAATAACGGTAGCAAGCAACGAGTCCTCGATGTCTCGTCCTCCCTTCAGTAGCTTCTTCACGGAGCCGTCAACCTATAATTTCATTTTAACCATAAATAAATCTTAACTAACATTTAATTTTTTTTAATTTTTTTTCGTAAATTGAAGTTTTCACATTTGGGGCTAAAAGTACAAAAAATGTCTTTTGGTTAAAAGATTGCCAACCTCAGGTAGTGTTACACTGGCATATCGAGACCGTGCACTCCTTCGGAGATCGGGAATACCATCTTTACCCCTCAGATTCTTCACACACATAACGATGCAACAGAAATAAATAGTCAGGAAAAAATTAACTTTAAACTTGCAAGAAATGAAATTAGTACAATAAACTCGTAATTAAAGAAAAAAAAATCTTAAACGAACTATCATGAATTCATCTTCGTAAATTCGGGTTCATTGCATTCGTCAGCACCACTGTGTTTAATCTAATTGTTAAAAAAAGTCCTCGTATTATTAATATTAGCAAAAAAACACCCTAAACATCACCATTCCAAAGTAAAGGCTAGAAAAATTTACAGTTATCTTGCCTCAGGCCGAATATCGATAAGTACGACACTCTCGTTTCCTCGTAAGAGCTCCATAGTTGACTGTGGAGATAAATCTCCGGAATATCCACTGTATTTCAACACCCTATAAGAACCCCTGCACATATCTGATCACAAATGTAATTTCCATTTAAAATATACGGAGATAAAGACAAGAATTATTGTCTAAATCCCGTTACGAACAAATATTATATATATATATATAAAAAAAAACAAGAAAGTTCATACCACAAAGTAGCCGACACTCCAACGAAAAGAACAAACGGAATAAGCGGGTCGTTAGGGTCCAATCCGAGACTTTCTTCGAATCCGACCAGAACAATGTAGACCTTTTTACATCACAATGTGGCATTAGTGTAAATAACAATTCTCTCTCACAATTATAAAAGCCTGAAAAACGAGTTTATTGCATTTAGTACCCTCATGTTATATCAAATAGATAAAAGAAAAACACTCCCCGTGTTACACATACTAGCAAAAATCCTCTATCAATGCATTTTGTTTGGCACACACAACCACCTAAATGGTGAGTGTACGGGGTAGTTTGTTATAAAAGTTGCATTGTAGGGGTGTTTTTTGTCTAATATTTTTAACACGGAGACATTTTTAACAATTTGATATAACACAGGGGTCCCAAATGCAATAAACTCTCCTTGCAAAATAGACATGTTATTTCTATTTCAAATGGATAGATAATTCAAGAAGTAGAAAGTATTTTCTAAAGTTCAAACATTTAACTATCTAATTATCACATTGTAAGTACTAAAAATTAAAATTTTCAATAAACAATTTTATCATTATAAGAAATTAAAAAAAAAAAAAAAAAAAAAAAAAAAAGTCGAATATACCTGTTGAAAAGCTGTCCCGACAGGCCTCAATACATCTCCGAAATGTCCTTCAGACGAAGCAAGCGAATCTTGAAATTCTCGAGGGAGAATTACCTTAACAGATTCATAAGCATTTCCGATATTTTTCGTCCCCATTATTAAGAAATTCTCGAATAATACAATCGCTCGTCTTAATACATCAAGTGCAACAAACCCTACTTTACCCGACCCTTCCTTCAACTCACCCGAAAATCCGGTCAACTTACTACCCGCCGATTCTCGAGATTTATCTACAAGTGATGTAATCTCATTTACGATTTTATCAACTTCGGCTGCATTTTTCGAAAGAGCTGCCTTCAAGGACGAGGTGATTGTATCGAACGATTTTTTCAAGACATCTTCGCCTCCATTAATCGTGTCAACGATAGAGCTGTTTATTTCATCGGAAATATCGAATAGATTCTTTTCTTCACCGGATATTGAATTCAAATCAATATCTAACGGATCTATTGCTAGAGGGGTATCGGCCGGTAAACCGTTGCTTATTAAATCGTCCACACCCGTCTTAGTGGGGCCGCCCTCCACAAAAATAACGTCGCTCGCCCCAAAATTGCTAGAGGAGTACAGACATTTGACGGGCCGTTTCTTCGTAAAATTCAAGAATTTTTTCGACGATTTTCCCACAATGTTGCAGTTCGAATCGAATGATTTCCAATACGAGGATAAAGACTTCAACCCTCCATGGATAGGAACCTGCAGAATTAGTAATTGATGTTTACGAAAACACGAAATTTTCGACAATCGATTTTCGATATCTCACTGAATCAAAAAACCCTAATAGACAATAAAAATTTAAAAACTGAAAATAACGAAAACTAACCGCCTGTGAATGGCAGGAGCAGCTGGTGCTTGCTGAAGAAACGGGCAACATTGTGAAATTACGAAACCTCAATCCAATCAAACCTTTGTTGTATTTTTTCAAACCCTCATTTTCGGACAAAGAAATACAGAAAAAGCTGCGAGCTTTGACTTCAACTAAGCTAGAATAGAACAACCCATTAACAGAGATTGGATCCCGGTCAAGAATCTTGAAATGGGTTTGACGATAATTCAACGCAACGCACAGAATCAAGTGGGGTTTTCTTAATTTTTTTTTTTTAATTGGCGGAGGAATTCGTTATATGGTTTATTGTCTGGGGATTTTCGAGGGTATTATCGTATGTAATTGACATGTAAAATCAAACGTTAGAGAAGTGAGAAGAAATGTGTGGTTTGTTTGGAGATGGTAGCTAATAGCTTCATCTTCTTGGATATCAACTGCCTCTCGTTTTTCTCTTGTGGGTCCCACTTTGGATTCTGTTCTTTTTTTTTTTCTTTTTTCTTTTTTAATTTTCTTGTTTTTGTTGTATATTAATTTAACCGAATTATATATTTTGTCATATAAGTGTGTATACTATACATAATTTAGTCCAATTCCAATACCGTCGTGTGTAATAATTCTAAGACGTGCAGCACCCATATTTTAACTTCTTAATGTTCGCATTTCGAACATATTTTGTGACCGACATTCGAGAAATGGATCATTTTGCAATTTCGAAAAGATTAGAAACATGTTTGAAGTGAATACAATATTTTCAAATAATTTTCTTTTGTTTCCCTGATTATTTACACTAAATTTAATGATCAATTCCAAAATTGATAGTTGATAATAATATTTATTTTGAATATATTTGTATCAAAATATGTAAATATGCAAATAAAAACTTATATACATATATAGCATATTTATAAATTTACCCCTATACTTTTAATATTTTACATGTTTCCACTGAATTCCCGTGTCCGTTTTTCCATTTTCCCGTATTACCGTCTAACTAATCAAGTCTCTTTTACCAATAAAAAGAAAGGAAAAAAAGAAAAAGAACAATGAATCATGTTTGAATTGGGTTCACGAGATTAGCCCACTAGATTCTATTAAGTATTTAGAAACATGTATTTTCTAAGGCCCAAATCCACAGATTTAGATGCATTTTTCCAAAAGTATGTTAGTGTTTGTGGCCCAATATGTATTCCTATGTGTGAATAGGGCCCAGTAAACTAATAATTAAGCAGCCCAAACCTTGGAATCGGGCCAGTAGCTAACTTAATTCCCGTTTAAGTAGCTTCACTGATTTTGACCGTTTAAGTTAAAGAGTCCGATCTTGGCCATTCATCTCTTGCTTTATAAACCTTTTTTCACGTTGTTTTCCGGCGACTTTCTTCAATGTTCATCGATGTACATGAAGAGCATTAATGAGAAGGCAGCTTTGTTGTCTTTGTCCGTTGTGTTGTTTCTTGTGTTATAGAGCAATACGTCACGAGCGATAGGGATAAGACATTGTTCATTCTTCTTCTTCTCCTTTTCTTTCTCAAATGCGATGTGAGTGAGGGTAACTCAGTGAGAAAAGAAGGTCTTTGTGAGTGTTTGAGTGAGTTGATTCTTGGTTGAGTACTTGTGAGTCAACTCAGAGAATGAAAGGGTAGACCTAGGGTTTTGAGTTTGGGCTTTGTGCCTGATACCCTTTTGGAGCTGCAGCTAAAGTGGATTATGGACGTGGACTTGGACAAAAGGAGACTTAGCCTACCTGGAAAAACGGTTATATGTGTTGGAACCAATCTGGTGATACTAGCTTAGATTTTCAGTGTCTTTATTCGATTCTTGTCTTCGTGTAGTTATGTTTGTTTATTTGTATAAATCAAATAGGTACCCAACAAAGTCGAATTTTAAGTTAAAACTGTGTAGCAACATATCAATTTAAAAAGAAAAAAATCGATTTAATTTCGACCTCAATGATGTCCGCGATAAAGGGGAGCGTGGCATAGTTATTCAAACAATAATGGAAGTTAAATAAGTGAAGCAAAGAATGATATTTGGTGGTGCAGAGAGAGAAGTGCATAACAAAAACTAAATTTTGAAAAGAGAAAAAGAAAAGATTACAAAAGAAAACTCAAAGTAAAGTAAAAGCGTGTTTAGTAATCATTATAAGCGCGCTTTTAGCCACTAAGTCTCTCTGGCAAAATGTTGTCGTCAAGATAAATTAAACTAAGCCATCATATTCGCGGAAGAAGCTTAGAAAGTAAAGAGGGCTCCATTTCATATATTTATATAATATATTATACCAAAATCTCGATAAATTAATAATTTTGTTTAAATGTAATTTCTTCGGTCTTGGTTCGGTGATAATATGTTAAATTATTACTTCAATAATTTAACCCCAATATTTCATTTAATTAATAAAAATATATTAATCTTGACTGTATTAATTTATAAATATTTATATATATAAATGTATGTAAAATCAAAACAAGAGAAAGAAGTGTCCCCAATAAAGGGCACTAGCCGCAAAAAAAAAAAGTAGTGACATTCAAATAATTACAGAATAA